TTCAACTCAGTATATCATTGTATTATTAATTAAGAGTAGTCCTCTAACAGGGGTTAAATGGCTAATTTTCAATATTATCTTCCCTTAAAGTACCTCTATTTTTTTTTAATTTGAAATAATAAACCATTTCACATTAATCTTTGATATTAAAAATAGTTAAATATAAAATATGAATGAATTTTATTATTAACTAAAGGAGAAAGAAGAGATCGTTACTGATAATAGTTGTAGTGGAAGAACCAAAGGAATACGAGCGCGCCCGAGCTCGACCGACCTCGCCCGATAGATTAGAACAGGTTTCTATACGTAACGTGAGATTAATATAATACGGACTCCGACAATATTATGTGCATACACATATACGGTTTTCTTAAATGCTATCGTTGGTATTATTTAATATTTAATTGTGTAGATTACAGCGATATGAAAATTAAGGTTTGTATATATAAGATAGATAAAAATACCCACAATGAAATGTAAATAAATATAGCGTGTATATTTTCTTCCACTTTGTCTAAAAATGCTTATTTCTGCTAAGAAGAGGGCAGTAAGTGAAAGTCGTGTGATGCGCGCACCAGATTTTTTTCACTTTAAATAACATGATGATCATAAGACTTTCAGAATAGGGAGACCCTATATATGATACATATTCTCCTATCTGACTGTATTCTGATACAATTTCTTATCTGAAGCAAATAATACCTTGTCTTAAATTACACGCTGAAACAAAGTTTAAGACCTCTAATCTATTTATCAGAATTCTAATTTTCACATCAGTCTGAATTTTTGCGAAGGTTCAATATGGCGACGCGAGTAAGGCGTCATCGAAGAACGATTGAGGAAAAAGTAAGCAGTTAATTACAGGCTTTAGGATCTTTGAGGGTACGGTCTGCGTTATAGATGGTCTGCCTTATTAGGAACATATGGAATTCAGTGTTGAGACGGAAGTTTTACATCATGGCTCCCTCTGTCAAGTATAAACTGTTGAGTTATTATAAATAAATTACCGATTTATACATATGAAATTCAGATTATAAATAATTTCTTATATCTATAATTATTTAATTTTAAGCCATTTCAATATATCTTTTTTTCAAAGGAATATTGTTATCGATTTGAGGAGGGTATATTTTTTATTATTATTTTAAATTGTTTACCTAGTGCCCCTGATTTTTTATTATTAATTAACTCAGACATACAAGTTACTTGATTTGGTAATTTGCTGAAAACAAGACTTTTGAGTCATTATTGAACCAGATGATAAATTTAAATACTCAGAATATTTTAACTAATGCTATAATTATTATTGTTGAAACGATGTGTGTATTATTTTTTTAAGGTTTATTTCTTATCAGGTTTTGGGACTGGAAAAAGGTGTGTCCGAAGGCAAGATTATGTATAATAATAAACAAGTGAAAATAATCGGAGTGATTAAATCATTAATGGGATTATAATGATCTTTGAAATGAATTTTGGTTACGTTTGTTTTATTTTTAATATCAAAGAATTCCTTTGACAATGATTTGGTATTAAACAAATATTTCAGTACATTAATATAATTTGTAACTGATTTCCGTTTTATTCTCTTTGCCTCGAACTCTATCCATGACATTAAATTGCCTTAAAAATCACAAGGGCGTAAATATCTGAGGGAAGGAAGGGGACTGTCATCTTACCTCTCCATTGATTTTTTTTTTTGTTAACGAAATAGATTATATCGAGTTCAATGAATAAATCAAACGAAAATTTCAACTTTTTTTGAATAGGTATTATATTTTATTTAAATTTTATTATATAGCATATGCAAGGCGCCTACGAGATTTCCACAAAATATATATATATATATGTATAGTTTAATGAATAAAATATTATTATGTATGTGGAGTGGATGTTCAATTTTTTTTATTGATGATAACAATTCATTACCAAGAATATCAAAGAATATGAATCCTTAAATGCTATTTAATCTTTAAATTTATTAGATTTTTTTTTTGGGATTGGTATCTGTATTTTATTATTAATTTGTTTGTCGCATTCCATCGACATTTCTGGGCTGCTTATTAATTATTTTATAATCGTGAGGTCTTCATTGTTCATTTTTGTTTTCAAATGAATAAATTATTATTATTTTACGTGAAATGAATGTTTTTATTTTTTAAATGTAATGTTAATTTATAATTTATTGTTTTATAATTAGAATCCATTGCCAAGGATAGCAAAGGATATGATCCTTAAATGCTCTTTTATCTCAAATTTTTATCTGTTTATTTACAACAGGAACTTATTGTAAGCAGATCGCAAAGAGAATATCGGACGATCACAGCTGATAGTAGGCGATTTCAACACGGAAACATAATCTTGTCACGGATTCAAATTATAAACACTTGATTCCAGACATTTAGGAGCGAATTTCCCATCTATGTCAGATACTTTTGAATTAATCTTGTGTAAATACACATTTTGGATTAATAATATTCAATATTAGTTTTATTCTACTGGGCACGCGTTAATCTACTATTCCACACGAACACTGTACATAACATATATAACTTTATAATTTAACTGTAAATTACACTGTTAATATTTTTAAGGTTAATATTTGCTGTACCGACTGTTTAACGTCCGAGGGGTAGATTTAGCTAATGTGAGACGATTACGTTAAGGTCGATCTAAAGGGACTTGATTTTGACGGCGACCGGTGGAGAGAAGTATGTAGATAGCGATTGGTGGTGTCGGCATCGAACCTTTATAATATTTATAATAATATTTCTAAATTGTGAACAAAAAGGCACATAAAAAAAAAAAATGTAAAAGGGAATTCTTATACGCCATACGTGCAAAAAAAAAAAAAAAAAATGGCTCGGTTATTAAATTTTTGAAGAAAATTTAAAAAATTAAAATTCCATAAAGCTATATAGAAATACAATACCCAACAAAATTGCCGCCGGTACTTCTTTAACCCATAAGACATGTAAGTAAATAAGATATTTTATTTTTAGCGTATTTTTTCTAATGAATCATATTAAAAAAATTAAAGTGTAAAACAGTTTTGGAGATATAATTAAAGTATGGCATATACGTATATATAACGCTATTTTTGTAAAAATTATATCCTTTATCCTATTTTTCCAATAATTGGGAAGGCGTGAAAAATCAACGTCATTTCGCTTGTAAATATTAAGAAATATTTGTTTGGTAATGGAATAATTATCTTCTAATAATCAAGAGGCTCAGCCTCCGCACTTCATGTAGTGTTGCCCAAATGCGAGACCGAGATGAGTCTTGGTCTTGCAAATTCAGTCTTGGTCTAGGTCTTGGTCTTGCGCACGACTCTCGTAACAGTCTTGTAGTTAACTATTAGCTTATTACGAGAGAGATATTACTGTATTTTTTTAGATATGAGAAACCTAACTAAATCTGAATAAAAAATTAGAAGAGTTCAGTGCAAAAGTAAATTGGCTGCACTAATTCTTTACATATATTAATTAAAATTGTCAAGTATTAGTAACTGTTTTGCCTCAATTTTTATTCAAAAAATCAATTTTTTTTTTAACAGTGTTGGTCTTGGTCTTGCAACAGATAGGCGGTGTTGATGTTAGTCTTACAAAGTGTAAGACCAAGACCGGTTTTGGGCAGCACCAACTTCAGGTATCCCGTGCATTTTAACAGAATTTAATCTTCTGTTAAAAGAAAAGAATTACATTCACAAAGAATGTTATTTTCTCCGTTACAGCTTTCATAGATTTGATTAATACATGTAAGAATGAATAGAAAGATTTGATGTAATTTATGGGAGTGGATATTTCTGAAAATGGCATCGAAGATGAATTAGATGCCTTGGGATAGAATTAGATGAATGCCAAAAAAAGTATATATTTTCTTATTAACGTAAATATTTGTTGTTTTTTCTTTAACTTAAAAATTCGACATTTTTAAATCAAAATGTTTCGACACCTCGTTCCTCTGAAGCATGGCTCAGAAACTTTTTTTTGTTTCCCTTGTCACTAAAAAGTCAAATAAAATTTTGTTTTTACTTCGTTTTTCGCAATCCATCCACATGTTTGGGGTATTTATATTTAATTATAATCGTGAGATCCTCATTGTTTATTTTTGTATTCATATTTAAATTTTTCTCACATCTAACTATAAAATGATATTATGATTTACGTTTTAATGTAAAAAGCTTTAGTCATTTTCTTAATGATCTTCTTAACAATTCAATCAGTTTTTTTAGTTCAAACAAGTTCCTAAACTCAGCGCGGAGCTTATCTTATTGATGTGCTCGACTTGAGTTTAGAAACTTAATTAAACCCAGCTAATCCTTCTGGAGTATTTCCGAATTTCCAGGTCAAATTTTAAGGAGTACATATTTGGTTTCATATTGGTCATATTTTTTTTAATAAATATTTAATCTTATTTTCAGTCCGATACTTTCCTTTTTCTCTGTTTCTTAGTAAGTGTAATGAATCCCTGAAGTGTATTAAAATTAATTATAATTGTATCAATGTTTATTAAAGTGTTCAAGTATTATGTTTTTAGATATTAAAAAGTTTACAAAATTTAATTTCAGTTTTAATTTTTTCGACCTTGGGAGGCTCAATTAGTAAAGATTAATCTACATTTTTTTACACTCATTATAATTTTATTTTTTTAGTCATATCTTTCAAAATTAATTAAGGGAATTGAATAATTTTTAATTGAAGTTCAAAAAATTCGTGATCTAATAAAAAGTTTATCTTTTGCTCCAAATGTTTTTTTTTTAAAGTGTGTATGCTACTTTGGTATGAAAAAATTGTTTTATTAATTTTAATTATAATTAATCAACGACAATACTAAATACCCACTTATAGTATATAAATATGCTTAAAATACCTACTTCATTGTTGAACTAATGGCTATCAGAAGAACACTAAAGTCGGCGAATGTTGAAGAAGGTTCTTATATTGGTAACGAAGTGGGGACCCCCCTCCCCACGGAACCACTACAATACCATTCTGTACTCATGTGTATAGCGGGTCTGCTCTTGGATTGGCAGGGTATCGATGGGCAAGATGTGACTGAGATATACCAGGACACGCAAGTAAATAACTTCATCCAAACCTCTGTTATTTATTTTTAATTAAAAGATATAAGTAAAAGCTATAGGTATTTAAAATAATTTAATTTTTATTCATTTGAAAAAAAACTATTACAAATTAATATAATTTCCAAATATATCAAATATGAGAGGCGAAAAAATTAGAAAACGAAATTATTCTTCAAGTATCTCAACTGCTTCCGTAGATATAATATTTACGGGTTATAGAACAGAGAAAATTTGCAAAATCGATATAGCGTTATATAATGGAACGTATACAAAAAGTTCAAAACGCCATCTCTCCTCCATTTTCCGACATAGTCCGGTTTCAATATTTTTGTAATTAATTGTACATTTTGAGTAATTTGTCAATACAAATTTTCATTCATGTTATTTTTGCATTTTTTTTTTTGTCGAGTTAAGAGGAGTTAACTTCCAAATCTCAAAAAAAAATCGACCCACTAGTCTTGGAAAAAAGCCACGTACTTTTATTGGCTTAGCGGATTCTACATTTCTTGAAACCTCAAGTTTTGGTAGAGGGATAAAGTTTTTGTTTTTCTTAGTCGATTACAATGATTCATTCTTCAAAATATTAAATAATAATACAATGATAAGTTTCATTAATTTTAATTGGCAAGAGTATTATAACGTTCACAAAATCGAAAAAATATGACCCAGAAAAAGATAAAGTCGACGGAAAAATAGCGAAAGCGGTACAACTCAAAATTTAGTTGCGACTTGCGTCTTGGAAATATACATAAGTATGTACGCAGAAGTCGTCTTCTGGAATCCATACGTTCTGGAGACTAAACCTTGCTTGAAGTCATTACAGAAAAATACATTTCCTACTTGGAAATAAATTTTATATTTGCAGCTAGAGGCTGAACATTAATATTTTTTTGTACTAGATTACTCATTCTCCTCAATGTCTATGGCACATGTCCCCTTTCATATAATTGTAGATATTGTTCTCTTCTTCTTAAAAACGGTGCAAGTAAAAGCAAAATTACGTCCAAGCCACGCCCAAATTGGTTCCTTCAAAAAAACTTCCATCCAGTAAAACTTTGTGCTCGCCCTAACGAAGAAAAAAAAAATTGTATTGATATATCTTCTTGAAAATGTTTGTTGGCACCTTGCCATCCTCTTCCGGCACTTCCATATTTGTCGATAATCAGTTTTGGTTCTTTTTTTTCTGAACATCAAATGTTTTGAAAATCTATAACCCTACTAAGATATCCATACTAATAGTGCTTTGATCTCGATGAAACTTCCTTCATTTTTTAGAAATTTTAAATACCTTTGAAACATCTTATCACAATATCGACAAAAAAGTGTATACTTTTTGAGTTATTCGTAATTTAATTTTACCATCCCTCGTAACTTTTTTTCCAGCTTCTTTCCGTTGAAGTATGTTATAAAGATAAATTTAAAGGGCGTCGAGAAAATGACTTTAGAGAAGTTTCATTAAAATCGGTACATTCGTTTATGCGATACAGTCTATAGCAACGCAGGTTTTTCGGCCGCCATTTTAAAAGTAAAAGGCGGATAGTAATGTCGATGAAGGAGGATCATCCTCGAGTGACCTCTGATTTTATATCCAAATTTGAAAAAAAATCGGTGCAGTTGTTTCGGAGAAAATGCGCGGATGGCGGACGGACAAAAGAACTTTTATTCGTTTTTCGAATTCTACGTACCCTGAAACGTAAAACCTCAAATTTTGAGAGGGGGTTAAGTTTTTGAATTTTTCGGTCGATTACAATGGTTCGTTATTGAAAATAATAAACCAAAAACAAAAAAAGCTGTCAAAAGAGTATTTATAATATTAAATAAGTATATACATTATAGTAAAAAAAATAAACAACATTAAATAATGTTTCATGAAAAAATAAAATTAATAGTGAAAAATAACACATAAAAGGAAGGAAATAAAAACAATTAATCAATAATAATAGTAATAATAATAATAATATTATTATTATTATTATAACACATAAAAGGTAGGAAATAAAAACAATTAATCAATTACTCATGTTAAACCATTGAAAAACTTATTTGCTTCTAACCAATAATTATATTGAAATGTCAAGATTGAAAAGCATCAGTTTGGAATTTGAAAAATAAGAAAAAAAAGAATTCAAATTAGGATAAGGAAAAAGCACGGCGTATTTTAGAAGGGAGGGAATTCCAGAGAGTGGTGGAGCCGGCTTGAAAAGGAAATTAAGTTGTTTCAGATCTTTGGGGAGGAATATAAAGGTCAGAAAGGCGGAAATTTGTATTTATCATGAATGAGCGTATTATGTTCTTACATGTTAGAGTATAATTGTAATGCAGTTTAACTGTAATGTAGTTTCAGCCCACTTCAATCTAGGTAAAGTAAATTTTTGTAAAAAAAACTTTCCGAAAACCTAAGCCTCACTAAAGTTTTAACTGTTTCCCAAAACTCCCAGCCACTGTCAGAAAATTAGTGAACAGACGAGTTAATTACTTAATTTGTTTTCGAAATTAGTCGAGAACATCCGTAAACCATACAGCCATTAAGAGCGGAGAAAATTTGAGAAAAAAGAAGCTTGTAGGTTTTGGGAGTGATACAATAACTACTGAAAATCACCTGTGGCCGAAAGGCAAGAAACGAATAAATAAATAAATAAATTGTTCTGAAGGATTTAAATAAAAATAAGAGTATCTTCAAGAATAATAAATAAATTGGTTCCGGAAAACTCGAATTTAGCATATAGCTGTCCTGGACAAAAGGGATTCCATTTTATTCTATGTAAGGATTCATTATTAACTTACTTCATCCGAGCACTTACGTATGATTTCATATCTGAAATTCCTTTATGAAGAGGTTCAGCCTAGTATTTTTGGCCTGTTAACAAAAGGCTATTTGGTATTCTGTTGCATGCTGTTGTCAGTTATGGCTGTTATGAGTAGATTAACCACACTACAGAGAGGCGAACCCGGCGTACAATGCCAAAGAACCTTAATTTGTTTTGGTCAAGGCTTGGACATTTTAAGTTCCATTCTTAAATAGTAGTGAGTGAAGTTTTTTTTTCAGGGTCAAAACTTCTGTGCCTTGCCATAGCGTTAGGAAGAACCTTGTTTACCTTCCTGCTTCGGAAATGAATTGATATGTATCGTTTCAGGTTCTGTATAGTGAGTCTTTAATTTATAAGTAATACTACTATTAAATATTATTTTACCTTGCTTTTCCTCTGGATGATGTAACCTTTCCTCGTTTCAATAAATTAGAATAAATTTTTGATGCATCATAATGGACGTTATAAAATTCCCCAATCTATTATTAAATATAAAACAGCCTGGATTTCTTTTTTTTTTTTTTTTTTTTTTTTTGAAAAAGGAAAATGCACTTTTAGTTCACTGAACTAGTTCCATAGACGTTTCCTGTAGCAGCAGTTCATTTTGACCTGTCGTTTAAACGTTGGTTCAAAATCAAGAAGATATTACTTAGTTGTCATATTAATCCATTGAACCGATTGCATGATTGTAATTATAAACTTATTTCTAAAGTAAGTTATAAGCAAAGTTTATAATATATAATTAAGGTAAAGGTATTTCTTGGTATCTAAGTGGTAAAGGTATCTAAAAGGCAATAAAGGTATTTCGGTAACGAGCTAAGTGCCAAAGCAAAAAAATTACGTTAGACAATTTGATGCAAGCTAAATACCATTTCGAACAACCTAAAAAGCGGCCAAAATGTCATGATAATCAATGGAGATGATCGATATTGAATATGTCTTTACAGTACCCTTTTGATTCTGGTGGCAATGGCACTTAGCTTGCTTAAAATTGTCTTATTTACTAATATTATTTGGTTTGACACTTCGTTCGTTACTGATGTTCATTCTTCAATCATAGGATTGGGGTTCTAAAACATAAATTTCTTTTTGTTTAGATATCAATATAGCTAACCTATCCATGCATTTTTTTTACTTTCCTACCTATACTAAGTAAGGAAAGTATTGAGATCGAGTCAAATTTCCGATATGTGGTTTTCAGAGCCCCTGAAATTCCCAAAAAAACTATATAAAAATCGTTCATTTCGGACAACTATTCGATTTCCAATGTAAGATCACGGGTTCATATCCTGGTGTCAGAAAGGAGCGAATGAGAGAAAAAATATACTAAGTTGAAAGTAAGAAAATATGTTGCCCGCATCACACAATCTTCACTATTTCTTCTAATTTTCACAGAAATTATTGTTTGACAAAATGAAGCTATGGCAAATGTTTTTGATCAACAATATTTGAGGGTATTGAATTTTTTTTTTTTAATTCCGATCTACCTTAAGCCGGTTTACATTGTTTATAAGTTTATCAAATAAATCTTACTCAAATATTTTCTTTGATCAATTTTCAGGAATATAAATCTAATTCAATTTTTTTTTTTTGTTTTTTTGTTTCTCGATGGATATATGTAGAGGTATAAAAACTTTTCTGAAATAGGCAGGACAGTTGTGTGAGTGGACACACCAGCATTTTTCTTTTTAATTTGTACGTACCCCCCCCCCCTTGCCCAAGATTCATATTGTCAATGTTTTGCCTCGCATTTGAAATTTACAACATTTTGGATTAAGGCTGTAAATGAGTGTTCGATACAATGCCGTGGATATTAATTAACCACTAATAGCAATTCAGGCATCATGAGTTGGAAAGCTGCAAAATCGTGAAGACTTGAGATACATTGTCTCACTTTTACAGCCTAAAACAGAACACTCCAATAGAGATATAACAACATACCATATAATTCATGAATACGATTTCATTAATTTTTCATTTATTGTTCAATATCATTCTTGGAAAAAAATGTTTTCTAAATACATTAGAACGGTATTTATTTTGTTATTTTTTTAGCAGATTAAATGGTGTTTGCTGTTATAAATTATGCTTGAATCATTTAAGATTAATGGTGAGTAACGAAAGGGATCATCAAATAAATCTTTCAGTACCAGTGAATAATACTCCTAAAAATTGTATCATGCAATA